TTGTCGATTTACCAACTGCAGACTACAGTCATTGGTCCAGGATAGGGGGTCCATAAATGTCCTAAAACAACATTCCTGGTTCCAGACGGTGATCCTGAGTTCATTCAAATTTGCCCATTAGTTTTTTTGTGTGGTTTCTTTTTTGTCCAACTCAAAAAGATGCCCTTGGAGGTAATGGTCCTTTTTTGTTTTAAAGAGTAAACCCCATCACATGTTTGGGGTAATATTTCAAGCCACAAACTTTCTCAGACAACTCCACTAACCCCTTGTTTTTTGACATACTCTCAATCACACGTGTGCTTGTTTATTTCAAGCTCCAAATGCATATTGTCCAGGTCATTTCATTCTTGCTCTTTCTACACAGGTGGGCACGCTGTAATCGCAAAGTTCCAGAGAACAGTTCAAAGCAAAGAGAGGGGAAGAGACCATGTACTATTATAAAGAAAGTGCCCAAGTTGGAGAAGTGTGTGCTGAGGTGGGGCTTCGGGGGGGAGGAGGGTTCATGTTCCTCTGATGTTGCAGGTAATATGGCCTCCACTGGATCAGCCTCTTCATCAGTGACACACAGTAAATTACAAGTGCTTCAAGCAGCTCAGTGAATTACAGTTCATCACTTGGAAAGGCTTTCCCCTTCACCACTGGGGCCCAGGCGTATCAGATCTGCCGGTTAGGATCCAATTAACACCCTGGCCGGAATCATCTGATTGCATGTGTAAGGGCTGGTATAACTCGTTTATTGCAGCCATGTATCTTCTGTCACAAGGTAAATTTGTTGCTGCTACATCAAAGGTCTGTGCTAGTTTTTTTTCTTCATCTCCCTCCCTCCTCCTCACTTTCTCTTGATCCCCCAAACTCAGCTACCTCGCCTTGGGGTTGCATTTCCACTTCTTTTGCATCACAATGATGAACCTGCTCTCTCCTCGCAATTTAGCAATCTTGTCCTGTAGGTGTTGTAAATGCAAGTGGGAAAAATAGGAGGAGGCAACATGGGAAGCGGAAAAATAATAAAACAGAAATCTTGTTTTCGGGTTACAAAAGGCGTAACTGAGGGTGTTTGACGACAAAAATATGCTGATGCGTTTTTTTTTTTTACTCTTTCGGCTTTTGAGAATCAACAGAAGTTTTCTCATGAATAACATCATTTTTTTCCCCTTCATTGTGATTTTTTTCAACAGAAAGAGTCTTGTAAATGTAAAATTTTGTGAACAAATTCAGACCACAACATCCTGTCTTCCGCTTTTTAGAAAACATTTTGCATACTAACCCATACGTCCTGTGAGTCACTGTTTGAATCGTTGAAAAGAGAGCTGACTGAGTGAGGCTGATTCTCTCTATTTTCTGTCTGAAGGCCAGAGAGAGAGGCCAAAGAGACATGGCTGTGACAACTGGAGATGACTTTATTACATATTAAAGAGTCGTTTGAAAAAAGTTAGGGTTAGGGTTAGAAAATAATCAAACTATACTTTCCTTTCGCCTTTGTTTAAATTGTGTATGTAAAGGCAAAGCAAATATGTTTCCATGCACACTAAACCTGGACAGATGGCCTGCATGGTTAACAGTCACAGCTTGATACTGTGTCGGGGGCAATGGTGGGAGCTGCTACACTTGCTTTCCCTTTTTTTTAACAGAAGTTGAAGTCCAAAGAGGCGGATCGGGGTGTGCTATATGACAAGGCTGGGGTCAGGGGCCAGAGCACGTTTTTGTGGGACATACAAAGAGAGCCGCAGGGTGGACACTTCAGGAGGCAGGAAGTAGAGTAGAGTGTCGGAAAACCTTACAGCTTGCATTGATCGATATTTCTAAAAGCTTGGGGATTTAACTTTATTTTTTCATCAATAATATGTTTTTGTTTGTCCCAACAGAAGCAGTCTTGTAAAAGTAAAACCTTCATCTTTCTTAACATCAATCTTTTTCAAGTAGTTGGGAATCGTCTTTGTTTTACTATCAGTGTTCTTACAAACACTGTTTGTTATTGTTGTTGTACAAAATCTACACTTTGTCACTGTGTGCTTGATATGAACTAAAAAAATATCTTGCCCATTGGCTAAATCCAGCAAATGTCAAGTCAAAATCACTAATAATGGCTTTATGCTTCCTGTTTCACACCTTTCCGACCTTTTTGTTAATCGCTATGCTAACAGTACACATTATAGATACTGCATTGAAGAGCAGTACTTAAGAACAAGCAAGTCTAAACAAGTGATACATTAGTTTTTCTCTATAGGGTTGAAGCATACACAAGGAAAATAATAATAACAATTGGCAGGGCGTTCTATTTACAAGTAGCATAATGGGGCAAAGGCGCTTCTCCCACCTTCAGCCTCACAAGAGAAGAACGCTAAAGTGTTATGTGAGCAAATGTTTCAAAGATCATAACAAATATAAGCACTTCTACAGTCTGTATGAAAAGTACACATTCAGAACTTTCTAATAAGCACTATAGTTTCTGTCAAACACAAAACTTTGGGCCTAAGCACACTTGATGTCTGTGCGCGGGCATATATAGTAAAGGCTACAGTTGCAGGCGCATTATGTATGTATGTGTGTGCGCAATGAAACAACTGTCACATTCAAAGGCCTCTGTAATCCTCGCTGTCTCTCCTTGTCCGCGTTTCTTTATTTGTATTCCAAATGTCAGTGTATAAATGCCTTTCAGAAGGGGATATTGCCACTGAGGACGAGGGGAGAGAGCGTTTGTGCGCCTTGGGAGAGCCGTGTGCGCAGAATGGCACAGGCGGGCGGATTTACAGGGAGAAATAGGTGTTTATTGAGTGCTCCCGTGGGCTTACTGTGTAATAATAGACCTGTCATATTACGCAAATGTGGAAAAGCAGCTTGTGCGTGTTTGTGTGTTTGTGCCGCTGTTTTTTGAGCACGCCTGCCTTCGCATCATCAACTCCTGAGCTGCAGCGACGAGAGAGCGGATGGAATTAGTCAGCCGAGAGCCTTTAGCTGCTAATACGTGTAATTAAAACTGCAAGCTGAGGCACTTAGATGCTTGTGTACTAAATAATTTACATGCCATGATCTATGGATCATTTCCCCGCTCTTAAATAGCGAAGATGGGGAACAAGAGGGAAAACGGCGAGCAGAGGATTTATCAGTATCTGTGCCATAAGCAGGATGTCATGGTAATAATAATCCTTTCTACTGTGCTAATCATACAAGGGGATCAATCCGCTTGTATGGGGCGGCTTGTGGAAAACATGTAACTAGATTGCTATTGACTCATCAAGCCTTGGAGCTAATAAATTACTACAGTACAGCAAGCACTGTGTCCTCATAATCTCAGTAAATAAAGCATATTAAAATTGTAACTTCCCAACGGGCAAGATAAAAACTCAAGAGTTGCAAGAGTACAACAACAATACAACTGACTACTGTTGATAAAATGCTATTTAAAACTGAGCGGATTAAAAGTCCTGCTGTAAATCTTGCTTCTGTGGTGCAGGTGCACAAGTACTTTTGGAACAAAGAGGGGACTTGCTAATAAAAGTAGGATCAACAGATGGATTAGCCGGGGACGAGGACGCCGCAATAGGCAGCTCTTCCATTCATATTGATTCATATCAGGCAGGGAACGGGTAAGCAAATGTAAATATTAAATATTTACAATAGGCTGCTGTTATTAGAGGCCGGGGCTTGGACATGGGATGACAGCCACACTGTTCTCTATCAATATTGTTCTTCCCGTCATGTGTGTGTTGCACTTGGAAGGCAGCGCAGGCATTTGTAGATCAGGATCCCATTTGTTTGAGTCTATTCACTTTGGCGTACATCCAAGGCGCAGACCTGGGATATTAGCCAGGGTTTGAAAAAAACAAAACAAATACTGTATTTATACATAAGGCTTATTTTTTCACTGAACCGTATCATATTGAATTGAATTGAAGGTTTGCCTGAATCTAGATACGCATCATAACACGTCATGCGTAGGAGGATAAGAATTGGCCGGCTCGAAATTATTCCCACCCAAGGTATAAGCTACATAACCATATATTTGTACACCACATTTTCTTCAAGAAGTGAAAATATAAAACCACCTCATGCAATGTCACAGCAAATATACTAACAGAAGCCACAAAGGGGTGACTTATTTAAAGTTGGGCGGTGTTATCGCTTTGCCAGTGCGTAATTAGATACACAGGGGTGCGACTTCTACTGAAGGTGTTGCCATTGTGATGCTCTGTGAAAATCTCAACTGGTGAAGTTAACGCCAATTTCTCTGTCCGTATTGAAATGCGCAGAGCCCCTAATGAGCTGAGGTATTGCTCCTTGATAATAGTAGCCATAAGGAGGCCACAAACTTTCCATAAAAATACAAGACTAATGAAAGGCATTGATAAGAGAAACACAGCCCAGGTTATAATCCATGCTGTTGACTAAAACTTGTGATTTGACAGTGGGAAGGCGGCGGAATGCAGCTGGCACGTGTAATGTGATAATATCTACGTAAGTGTGAGCGCCAGGCCGGTGTGTGCCTGAGTACAAGTGTGACCTTTTCACTGACAACAGAAATAGACAGCTTTACGAATCAATAAGGTAAATTAGTGTTGCCGAGTGGTTGACAGGCAGTTAAAATTAGCTGTCTTGCATGAGCCACTACTCAGCCCGACATGTCTTTCATATAATAACTCTCCTTGTCAACAATGGTATAGATGTACAGATTAAAGATGTCCCTTCATTTGTCAGTCTATCATATGGATTTTAGGTCTGCTTGGGAGAGTAATTGTCCATTTCGAAAGATAAGTGAACATCAAGTGACAGGAGGGGAAATAACACCAGAAATGACTGGTGGCCTTTAATAAAACTTGTGTTGTCTTTGTGTCTATGTGGCGCTTAGCTTCCCAGGGACCAACTCGTGCAGCTTTCGGATTCCAATGACAGGTCCGAGGATTGCATTGGCAAATCAAACACACTTGTGGAACAGAGGAAATCTTCTTTTCGGAAAGGCATGTATTATGGATGGACTTAAGAGATTAGACGGGGAGCTGCTTTACCTGCAGTGGACGCTGCTTGTCCTGGCTCTTTGGAGATTTCAGGCCACTGCCTGGCTGCTGCAAGAGTAATTGCCTCGCTGCTTGTAAGGCCTGCGAAGAAAAGAACATAAGACAAAAGATGGTAAGAAAAAGGAGAAAGAGACGATGGGATGGTGTAAAAGAGGCCGTAAAAATAAACTATTACAATTCTCGAGGCCGACAAGGAGAATAATTCACATGGCTATGGACAATACACTCCTGAGTGACTGAACCCTATTCAAAACTCCACAGTTATCTGCTGTAACAGCTTCTGACGCGGTTTACTGTATGCTGAAGACATGTTTTAGTAACAATTCACAGTTCTGTGATCAAGCATAAATACAGTTTGTCTAGAGCGCCCTGAAGAAGAGTGCGGAGGAGGGTTGGTTGACTGAAAAAAAGGCATCAGCATCACTAGAATTGACCTGTCTAGTGTGTGCTCAACTGAAATACCCACTTGTCCCTGCAAATTACCAGCACATTTGCATATTCATAATATCAATTTGAAGTAGAATCAGCCCCATGTGAAGTGTCCCTGGGAGCTGTAATTAAAGTTGACAAAATCAACATTAGATTACATTTATCCTGAGCTCCTGCTTTACACTATACATTCAGAGTCCTTATGAGAAGTAGTGACAAGCTACAAAGAAATGGTAATTATATATATAAATATATATGTATATAAAGGCAGAAAGCCTGAGCAAATGAACAGCTTGGACGTGAAATCTGATTTATCAAGTGGACGTTGTTTGTTTACAATCTGAATCAAACATCACAGGTATTAGGCTCTTATGTCTTTATTAGCTTCTTATTTATTGGCATATGTTTTTCCTTAATATTAATTATGTTTGTTCATTGTCCTTCAATGCTTAGAAACACCCCATCCACCCCCATGTTTCTCTACTTGTGTCTTAGGAAAGTTAAGAAAGTTAATAATAGCTACGTTATGAGAAAATGTTGCTTAAAAGTCATATTGTTTATTGGGGATGGCACACATAAGCTTTTTGCTTCTGCAAAACTGCTTTAATAAACTACTACTACAGAAAGTACATGGCACAAGGTAATAGGGCTCTTTCATAGGTTATAGATCCATGCATTTCTAATCCAGTGCGTTATTCTCAGTCAATATGGCAACTTTTCTCTTTTTCCTTACAGATGCAGGAGGGTCAAAGGACAGTGATGGGACATTCATGGACATTACTCATCGTGCCACCCCATGGACCAATGATTCTTATGCGTTTTATATGATTGCTTTTCATGTGTTCCAATTGTTTTATTCATATGTATGTGAATGAGCTTTGTAGCAAAAGTGTGGATGATTGGATGTGTGTGCGTATAACACCATTGGAAAAGTCGGCCTATAACATCCCTCCTTAAAAAACCCTAACCATGCACGCTGGGCCGCCACAACCCTCCCTCGTGAATGTGTTTGTGACAGCGCGGGTAAAACAGTGGCATCTGGGCGAGCAGTCTTCTCCCACTCTTCAAGCGCAGACGGATGAAAGACGCTGGCAGGAAGAACATCATGCACAGCTGCTGCTTCCCTGGGCCTGCGCGCATCAAGTGGGAGCGCGCGACACAACACAACAGACAACAACTTCACACAAAAAAGCAAGGGGACGTCAAGAAAGAGCGGCGAGGAAAGTAGCGAGGAGAGAGTGACACTTCTTCAGGAATCGCAGGGTTCATTTTATTTTTCCTATGCTTGCCAGTATCCATGACAACAGCTGCCTGACGGGGCGCACATATGCTCCGCCAGCTGGTGGGAACAATGTTTGAACTTGTACATCGAGATCCAGAGCAAACAAGAATAGAAGACAGGAGAGGGGAGAGAAAATGAGGAAGAGGACGGAAGAAGGAGAAGACGAAAAAAAAAGTTGCCACGTCTTATCCTCATGGGAAGCGCAACCGCCCTCCTGATCAATTATGAACAAGCCGGTGTGCTGGGAGGTTAGGGGGGCTCTGTCTGTGTCTGGCGTGGTGCCTTGGAGGAGACAGGCTTTCTGAAGACGCGTAAACAAACACATTACACTGCCACCAAGTCCGCACGCCATTGATCCGTCTGCTCGGGACAGGAGGGCAGTCGCCACCGTGCGCACCCCTGTGTCTGATCCCTGGCATCAGTGTGGAGAGAGGTGGATGCAAACAGACATGTGCACGATGGTACAGTACATCCAGCAACTTTGTGTAAGAATGTGATAATAGGTCAGTGATCCAAGACATGTATAAACATTTATGTACGATGGTCATGCCACTATCCTATTTGAAAAATAATGTTGCAGTTCCTATGTGTTGTGCATTTCCTGAAGTTCAAATTGCAAATAGCTAATTCTGTAAAATCTTCTGAGACCATTTCTGTTTTTATTTAAGGGTATACAAAAATACATTAAAATAAATTATAAAGGGAATGTAACCTTCAGTCACTCAATAGAAAAATAGCTTTCAATATATGTCTTTTCCATTTGTCCAAGTGTGTACTCTTTTAAATATGTTGTATCAATCAGGTATTTCAAAACAAGTCTCTATGCAGGTGTTCAAGTGGCATCGCTTTACCTTTGTTCTGGTCAAATGTTGGATAAAAAACATTGAATAATTGATAGAATTATCACCCTAGCATTTTCTTTACAAACATATTTTCATTGATGCAATTATTATATAGTGTTATCATTTATATATTTAGTTTTTTACATTTAACTGGACAATGTGTGACTGAATGCTTTTGTTATTATGTCTCTGTGCAGTGCTTTGGAAAATATGCAAATATATTTTTGCACGTTTGGGTATTTTCCTTTTTTCATTGATGTTTGTATTTGGGTGTTGACATTTGTTTTATAAAATTGTGTTTAAAATGTTTTGTAATGACCCATGTGAGTCATAAACTATGACTTTAACAAAGACAAAAGGTTTGTAATGTTATGATCAAAACATTCATTTGACCTGAGCGATGAGCAGGTTTGAGCATGAACAATCCACCTAGATCATCAGTAATTATGTCTTAACGCGGGTTGTTAAAGCAAGAATCACATGTAATCAAACTCCTACGTCTTGTCTTTGAATAGGTTCAGAGAGATCAGCAGGTGAAACTGACTTTGTAAGGGCCTACGTCTTTACTACTCAACATGTAGGGAGAAACTATTGTTTGCATCACTGCGCCACATTCAATAGAAAAACAAAGATTGTCTACATCTCGAGGGGACTGCTTGAAAAAAAGAGAAACTTAACACTTCCTGCCTCAATACAAAAGACTAAACAAATTCCGTGAATGCAGCCAATCACTTTGCTAATTAAAACACAGGGGCTAATTAATCTCACCATGATTGGTGAATCAAAGTAATTATAGGGCTTATTGAGTCCTGCACACAGTAGTTAGAGGGAAGACTGCTTGATGAGTGCCGCCGTAGGTAGCTGTCAGGAGGAAATGTTTATCCATGTGTGAATCAATAATGACGCGCTATGCTGAACCCAAAGTCAAGAGAAGCACTCCATTTATTACACGCGGTCAAAAGAGTTTTAAAAGCACTTCCAATATCTACAGCAGGTAAACACACAGGTAGGAGCAGGTTTGAGAGGTGATGAAGTACAGGGACATGAGTCTACCAAGCCCAGCTTATTAGAACCCAAGTATGCAAAAACTGCATATTCCCCAACATTGCAGAGACCTTAGCAACACCTACCAAACTTTGTCATTGAAACTGTCACCTTTGCTGTAGAAATGGGGTTTGCTGTTTTTTGTGAGAGAGAAAAGAAAAGTTCTGTCCCCTCATTTCCACTGGCTCTGAGTATTCAGCCATTATAGCAAAAAGCACCAATTTGTGCCACCCAATTTCCACTCCACGTGGATGGCAAGCTGAGACCCATCTCCAAGCACAAAAAAGCCTCCAAATGCCAAGAAAAGTCATCAAAAGTTTGCTGAAGAGCAAGTGAAGCGGACAAAAACATAGAGGCAAGCAGCACACCATCTATTTAACCTGGGTTGCTATGCACGAAAAAATGGCATTCCCAGTCTATTAATGCGCACATTGTATAAACAGCACAATGTGACACATTCTTCAGAATGAGTCGACAGAGAGAGAGGAGAGAGAGAGCTTGCAAGGCCCCGCTATATAAATAACCAGGCACTCAGAGGCATATTTGATGTTGATATCCATCACAGAGGTTGGAAAAGAGGAAAAAAATAAGAGGGGGAAAATAACACACAAATGAAAGCAGGCGAGAGCGCGACATAGGGATCCTTATGAAAATAAGATTCAGCCCAAATGGATGTGGTGTAATTGGTTTCAGATACTGAGGTCAGGAGAAAGGCGATACAGGCAACTATTATGCGAAACGGACGGAGAAACAAGAATGTTTACACAGGCATTCCTCTGCTACATTAATAGGCATGCAGAGATCACTGGAGAGGCAGACGAGACTGACAGAGAGGAAAGAGAGAAAAACCACCAGCCAGCCATTCAACTCTCCCTGTGCTCTGTTTAGACTCAATACAGGCCAAGGTAATAAGGCACACCCGTCACAATGCACCTTTGGAAAGAGCATGCAAAGATCTTAAACAAGCATGAAATACATTAGTGAGTCCTGCAACAGAGGCACAGACCATTACAAATCCACAGATTGCTCTGTGTGTATCGAGGTGGCGGGGATGGGCTGGTCAGGGAAATAAGCCATCGACGAAGAATGTCACTCTTTCAAATCCACCCAGAGACTGTGATACGCCGCCATGACATCGGGATTGGATACATCAGACGAGCTGTAACATTGTGTTTGGACAGTACAGATCAGCGCCGGGCCCAGGTCATGTTGGGAGTTGGTGTTTATTAGGCAGCACACGATGATGACACAGGTGTGAAATAAGCTTTTCCTCCTTCCTCCTCCGTCGAGCAAAGACGTGTCTTAGTCCGCTCCTGCTTCTGAACGGCTTGCTATCTCCTGTTTTTGTCTTTTTTCCTGGAGCTTTGCCACAGACAACTTTAACAGAATGGAAATGATTAATTGGTCCCTCAACGCAATTGATTCTATCTTTTCAACACGTAAGCGTGGGTCTGGAGAGCCCGTGTGTCCGGACGGGACTTCAC